TATTAAAATTTGCACAAGTAATCTGAAGTATTATATTAATCAGTAGCAATTCAATCTTCACTGCATTGTTTCCTTTCTTATAGCGAGCATATGGGGTTCTTTTGATAAACTCATGATATTTACGTGCAACCTTATTCGTCTAAACAGAAATTAATAGAAAGACGAATAATGTTTTGTGTTGGCAAGACGAAGAATGGTTACATACACGGAACCGTTTGAAACCGTCATATTGAATCCGTCGAGCACCAACTCTTCTTTCCCATAACGCTTCACAGCGTTCTTTACAACCACCATGTTTTGCTGCAACATTCTGCGTCTGCGAATTGGTGATGTCAGTCCTATCAAACTGTAACAAATGTTTTTTTAGTGATTAGTTTTTTAAAAAGTAGTAAGAATAGAATTCACTAGTCATTTTTAATAGGCAAACATTTTTTGGAATATTATATTTTATTTTTTTAATTGTAATTTATGTTATTACACATTGACTATTTTATTGCTTTTCGACGCACTGTTGGTATTGGTTTAAACAATGCCTTGCCTAAGCCTTTATATATACTTTTTAAACGTCAATCAGTGCATTATCATTGAAAACAGTTGTATGTCACTGAATTATTCAATCCTTTGAAAAAATATCGGCTGGACTTTATTTAAACCAACGTTTAATGTTCTCTGCATTTCAAAATTGATATTAAACATAAACGAAAGTATACTTGCTTCTTTTTATTTCCAGGCCCTTCCACCGATTCAATTAATCACGAGAACACCATATAAATGAAACAATATCATGTTTTCCAACATGTGCACTTTTTTATAATCAATAATACATTAATTGTATACATGTATTGTATACAAAGAGAATGTGTAACGTGTATGTTATATATTTTATGTGTCAGAAATCTAGAATCTTGAAATTATTATACGATTATTACAGACATTCTTTATGGAGCTTATTTACAAGTATTATAGTTACAGTACGTTTAAAATATGGATGTAACACTCTCTACTAGTAATCGATGACTACTCGATAACGCGGTTTTACTCCGATCGACCTTACGTGTATCTTTTTCTTTTTATCTGCATAAACAGAATTTACGTAACATTTGATACAACATTTAAGATTCTTAACTTTTCTGTTCTACAATTTAAATAAAGCATCGCTTTGCGTGAGGGTATTCCGATTATTTAATTGTATGTATATGTAGATGCAAAGATGTATTTAACGTATGCGAAGTATGGTTTTTGCTTTTTACGTAGAATTGTAATTTGTGAGATATATTGAAAAAAGAAAAATTGCGCATTGAAGACGTCAACGTCCTGTTTGTCGCAAAGTTGAACATGCACAAGCTGTAACAGAATTACAAAGTGTGCTGATTAATTGTTATTCAGTATCTTAATGCGCCCATTTTCGAAATGTTAAATCTTAGAAAGTATCACAAGCATAAAACAATACACCAAGCCGGGCTGCATCGATTGGAACAAGTGATAATCTGAAGGAGCTAATTGTAAGTCTAATGAATACGCTGGGTGTGGGAGAATTTTTCACTCGAGCTGCATCAGTGTTTCCTTGACGGATTTTGCAACGTGTGGTCGAGCGTTGTCGTGCAAAAGAATAACTTCCTTTCCTTTTGAATCTATCCTATTACATTTGGACGTTTGGAAACAGCCATCGGAATAACATTTAATGCTGCAGACAATTCTTGGAGCGTTTGAGCTGAGTTTTCGTTCAATAATGCTTGCAATTCGGTGTCTTCAAACTTTTTCAGCGGATCTGAGCGTTGTTTATCATTCACAATAAAATCACCACTTTTAAATCGTTGAAACCATTCTTGGCATGTTCTTTCCGATGAAGCACAATTGTCATAAGCTTTGACAAGTAATTTATGAGCTGTAGCTGCAGTTTTTTTCTAAGCAAAGTAATGAAGCAGCACATGTCGAAAAAGCAACTTATCACGTTCCATGTTTAATCAAAAGAAAAAAATGGCACTGTTCGCTTAAATAAACCTTTTTGCACTGAATTTTATTGACAAATGTCTAACCTTTAAAATGCAGTCAGTTTCAGATGTCAAATTAAATTACACTTACAACTAAATGTGAGCCGCGGAAAGGAAGTTTACCACCTAATACTATCGGTAAAAAGCTTCGAGCCAAAAAGAATAACAACGTCAGTATTTTCTACTTGGCATTTTTAATAATACAGAAAATTCGTTGCAAAAAATATTACCTCAGCCAGGGTTTAAACCTGGACCTCCGCTTAGAGTGTGGGGACCTCCGCTGAGGTGATATTTTTCGCAATAAATTTTCTGTATTATTAAAAATGCCAGTCATGGTCAAGAAAATACTGACGTTGTTAATTATCGCTGGCGACATTGAAGAATTCTTATTAGTTAAAGAGAATAACGCCATAAAGAGACTTATGCAATAGACAGAGATAATAAAATGCATTAACACAATCAATGTAATTTCCACCTGTTTCTGAATTGCTATTGCACGCTTTTGACACACAGTACGAAGTACTCACTGAGCATCAATCCACAAAACCTATTGAGAAACACAAGGACGAAAGCAGCGAATCTCAATCGATTATCATAGTGGTATGGATAACTGTGACAGTGCACTGAATAAGAAAGTAAGACAGCAGGATTTTTTCTGTTCTTGACTCCTATTACATATTTATATTCGCATTGTTATGATAAAAAACACAATAAACATAGTACAAAATAAATTTTTTAAACGTTAAACGGTTTTATAATTTTGTCACACAGTATCACAATCGATTTTGCTTACTTGTGATTGTATTTGTCGCATATTCTTCTTAAAACATGTGGCACAGCAATGTTTTGAACATTGAAAAAAATACCACTGATACCTACTGATGCACTTAAAACTTGAACGTTGAAAACCTACTATCTCACATTAGAATCCTATCTCATAATAGAGGACTTTCCTCTACTGATTTCATCTTTGACTCCATTAGAGCAAAGTTATTGAATTGATTTGTGGTTTTTACAGAATTATTTATATAATAAATGTGAATCATTCAAGTGATTTTTCGCGCACGGTTCGTTGAGCGACTTATTTTTTATATACACTTTTGTAACATTTAACACAGGGAAATATATCTGGTTACCTAATAATAAGCGCGTTCAAAAATTTGAACGATATCTGGATTGCGTAGAAGCTTCTCGACCTTCCCTCTGCTTGTAAACAAGTTGATAGGTCAATACAAAAAATATCTCGTGAGTTAGGTCACAAAACAGATGCACATTGCACTTTAGTCAAGATAATTTCACTATTTACATAAAGCATCTAATAATAGAGTAAACGCTCGTTGGTTAAGTATAATCCAATTAGGTTGATTGATAAGTAACTATGTGACTGCTTGAACATGTAAGAAAAATCTAATAATATTAAATTAGCGATATTAAAGTAGAGATCAACATTGATTTATCGACATTTAAAGCATTACAAAGTTATTCCACGAAGATAAAGAGCTCAGAAAGAGTCCGAGAAAAACGGATTTATCACTGAGATGGAAAAAATAACGAGAACAACAAATTGTCAAAGATCGAGAGAAATTTAGGAGGTAAAAGTCTTTCAAGACTCTTCAAAATCATTCTCCACAAAGACGAGGCAGTCCAGAAAAGTCGAAGAGCATCAAATCGATAAAAGTGGACACCAAACAAAAGAAAACTTGATAAATGAATAACGATTGAGAGATGTTTCGGTCTAGGAAAGCATTCTAAAAACTTTCAAAAATATCTACGAATATAAAAACAGAAAGCCAAATGTTTTATAGAAGCAAAAATATGAAAGAACACACTTCATCTATGATCAACGATCGCGTTACTTCGCACTAGAGAAAATCTTTCTGGATTCTTCATGCATCGAATGAAAGAAACAAAATTGATTGCTGATAATCGAGAATTATCGCGACCTAAAAGAACTCTCTCCGCATTTCTTGATAACATCTTCCACGAAGGATCTGACAAAGATTTAAACTCAGACGGCTTTAAAAAGAAAACATAACAAAGAAAAACAAGCACATTAAACAATAAAAACGGCAAAAACATTGATAATAAAACGAAATGTTACTTCAACGAGAATATATACGTGGACACGAAGAAGCTGCGATGTCACAACGTTTCTGCGGGTTTATTTGCGTGCTTTTCATGGTTTACTAATCATTATAGAATATAGATAATTTGTTTTCTCTTTAAGAATGGTCGGAACATTGATTAAAATATTGATCTATATATTATCTTATACAAATAATATAATATCTTAAGAAGAATATAACTGTGATAGGAAACAAGTACTTATATGTGTATCGGTGTGCACGCTCTATATGTTATATATAGGAAACACATATTTATACATGTAAAATATGTTGACAACGGGGAGACATATTTAATGAACTGCGCGTATCTTTATTGCCTTTCCCTATTTGGTTTCTACATTTCTCATCATCTATTGAGTTAATTGTTCTAATTTATTGGACTTCTTTAATTTTAAACATAAATGTATAATTATAATTATATTAAAATTGACTATTCTTTTTTTAACTAACATACTCTTTTATTGTATTGATATAATTATTAACACAATTAAGTACTTTACAAAATCTAATATATTGTATATATTTCAGTGTAATATGCTATTTTCTGTCTGAAATACATATCGTTATTCTTTAAAAACATTTAATTGTTGCTATCACACAGAAGTAATTAATTTTATATTATTATTGTACTATATAATAAACTAAAAAATAGTTATTGATACTAGGATTGAATCTCGGATTGGATTTTCGTAAGATTCCCATTTTACTTCGTGAACATTTTATTTCACTTTATCAGGAAAAAATAAACTAATACTGCATTGTTTGTCTCGGATGGAGTAAATGTTCACGAAATGTCAGAGTGAAATAATAAACTTGACACAGCACCAACTCGAAAACCAAACTTACAATTAGTATTCATGTACATACATCGAGAGAGCCTCAAATACTAAATAGTTATTATTTTTTAATAAAATTAAATCTTTAATTTATGCAATTACAATTAATTGAATAAATAAAACTTATAACCGTGAAATTTATTCTTTTGGAGCAAGTAATTTTTCACACAACTATATGAATCAGTAAACTAATTATATCTTTTCTTATATCACTCATAAATCAAGAGGTTTACTCAAATGATTTAAACAAACACTCTGCAAGTTTGTTTAATTGAACTCTGCATGCAAAACTGTTTCTGTATTTTATAAACAAATACATTTCTAAATAATATCACGAGGATTTCAACCTTACACCAAGTATAGTTATGATGAAGAGCACCAATATCCATCCTAAACATATGAAAAAGCCAATGTAAACTTCTGAGTCAGATATGGAAGATCCTTTGTAAATGATTTCTCTCGCAGATATGGCGGGCAATGTAGTTGGCAAACTGTAGCTAAGCCAGCGAAGCCCGTCCGGCATTCCCTCCAACGGCCACAAACAACCTGTGATTTTGACAAATTACTATATTAATAAAAATTTGTTCAACGTAAGATAATATTCCGCATATTGTTGACGTTAATTTGATATTATTACAATATTTTCTAAAATGTTTAATATTTATATTAAATTATATTTATATTTTTAATATTTATAATTAACAATGTAACACTTGTTACACGATAAAATTATTGAAATTTTGAAATAATCGATTTAATATAAAGGTATCATTAGCAACTCTAGATTCAAGTAAAAAGTAATTTTCGCAAAACAAAAAATAGAGAACGCTCACCGTTGAGTAATATTAGCGGGAAAAAACTTCCGGTCGAACAGTAATGTGCCGTGGTGTGATTTTTGCACATAACTGAGATAACGAAACCTGAAAGTGTATTACCACATCAATATAATTTGCAATAATTTCTGAATTTCGTGCCCGCTTCTTTGATACATTATATGGAATACCCACCGTACATCAATCCGCAAAAAGCGTTGAGAAACACAAGGACGAACATGGTGAATACCGATCCTTTACATTCCAAACCCCATATAGGGAAGAATAAGAGCATTATCATAGTGGTATGGATAACTATGACAATGCTCTGAATAACAATGTGGGACAGCAGAATTTCTTCTGTTTTCACCCCTATACCATATTTATATTCACATTATTATGATAAACAACATAGGGATAAAAACCTATTCACAAATCTGATTTTCAAGTCTAATTAATAATTTAATACCTTGTACTACGCTTCTATTCCAGACACCCTCCACTCGTTCGGTGATTATCAAGGTGGTAGAGACTGTGTTGGCTAAAAAGAAGACAAGTCTGCAAAAATACAGTATGAAACTATAAACAATAAAACCAATTGATTACATTTTTTATGTTGGCCTGATTTTTACTTACGATAACAGGTATGCTGGTGCCATGAAATCTGCGTAATTGAGATCCGTCGAACCATAAATGGGATCTTCAAACTAAAAATGATTGAAACTTTAATTTTCTATTTTATTAGTTTCATACGAGAGAGAGAGAGAGAGAGAGAGAGAGAGAGAGAGAGAGAGAGAGAGA